AACTTTATAAGCTAATGATCTAATAGTCTAAAGTTGCACGGTGGCAATTTTGTGATTATTGAAAAATCTCGTGGCAATTTTGTGATTATTGAGAAATCTCGTGGCAATTTTGTGATTATGAATGTTCAGATTGTAGATCTAATCCAAGGGTTGAGAATTGGTCTTACGGGTCTCACAATTCTTGGTCATATATATATATATATATATATATATATATATATATATATAGGGGCCCATTTAAGGGAGAACTGGTTAGTTTGTGGTAACCGTGAGATCTAATCTCAACCACAAATCAATAGATAAATTAAGTAATTTATAATTTTGGTAATTTTTAATTAAAATTTTAATCCAAGGACATTTTAAGTATTTTCTCTCCTCTCTTCTCTCTCCGTCCCCGTCTTTCGGCCACCGTCCTCCGGCCACCATCCTCCGGTGATACCACAGTGTGATACTCAAGCACATATAATATGCATTGTGATACCACTATGGTATCACCGGAGGACGGTGGTCGGAGGCCTGGGGACGGAGAGAGAAGAGAGGAGATAGGAGAGAGGAGAGAAAATACCTAAAATACCTTTGCATTAAAATTTTAATTAAAAATTACCAAAATTATAAATTTCCTAATTTATCTATTGATTTGTGGTTGAGATTGGACCTCACGGTTACCACAAACTAATTAGTTCTCATTTGATAAGCCCATATATATATATATATATATATATATATTAAATATATAATATTTATATATAGTAAATAGAACAAATAAAGTCACACATGACACATCCTCTTGACCTCCTAGGAAGCCAAAGACTCACATACCGTTAGACCAAAGACACCTTGATTAGTTTTCTGTTTTCTGTTATATTTGTTGACACCATTTTATGTAGATGGTGATTAACATCTTCAGCATCTATGTTATTTTAGAAAATTTAAAAAATCTAGGAGAAATTTACTCCAACAGTCATGATAAACTCTTCTATAAAATTGATAAAATAATTAGACAGAATTGAAGGATTTTCAAATTCGTAAGAAAGAAAAAGAAAATATAACATGTGAGATGCTCTCATGATTCTTCTGGATTTATTTAGGGGAAGGTTAATGGCATTCCTGTCCATTCTTATTGGCACCCCTAAGTCTACTTTAATCATCATTCTCTTTTTTTTTTGTCTTTTTATTATTTTATTTATTTAAAAATAATTAATATAAGTTACTGAATTATTATTTTTGTTTATTTATTTATATTATATATATATATATATATAAGTGAAGATAATAAAATCATTTATAATAATAACATAAATAAAAAATATCATATATAATATGTGTAAAATATACATATAATTATATAATATAACTTGGAGTAAATTATAGTTTTAGTCGTTGTTGTTTGTTCATAACATTGTTTTGTCCTCCACAGTCTAAAAAAATACAAATCCTTGAGTTTAGGATCAAATTTTTTTAATTTTACTTATAGATTTTATGACTATGTGATCAGGCTCCCAATAAAATAAACATGAAGGCCCCACTCCCCAGCCCAACCCATAATTAATTTCACCTTCATCGCTCAATCATTCCGCCGTGACTGTGACTGTCGAAGGCTCAAGAAAGAACAATGTTGCACGCCTGCACCTTCATTCATCGCAGCGCTTCCTATTTTCACCGCTTCCTGATTCACTTCCTGCTTCCAGTTCCGCCTGTTCCGGCATCCCTCCCGCGTCTTGGCGTCTGCACTGCGAGTCCGCAACTACTCCAAATTAGGTAAAAACCTAATCATGCCCCCTATAATAATTTTTTCTGCATCCACCACTGGTCTAGCGGTCGGTAAATTCTTTTTGTTAAGTACCTCACATACCACTAATTTGAGGGCAAAGTTTGTGTACAAATCATCGAAATGATTTCTAGATTTATCAAAGTTCAAATTTCATTCTCGTACTTTTCATTAAGGGGGTGTTTGAGATTGCTTATTTTAGGTGTTTTTTGACTTATTTCAGTCTGACACCGGTGATAAGCTAAATGTTAGTGTTTGGATGAGGAAAAATAAAAACTGCTTATTACCAGTTTACCATTTTAATCTTGTTCTATTAATGTTTGTTAATTATTTATCTTATTGATATAAATTTTTGTCAAAGAAATTATAAATGATGAAAAAAAAAATTACATGTTAAAAAATCAAATAAAGTTAATAAACAATCCCAAACACTCTCACAAGTCAATAATATGAAAGATTGTCCTTTTTGGTCATTTTACATATATAAGCAAATTTTGCCAAACACTAAAAAACAACTTATCAGCTTATTGCTTTTTAGTACGACTATAAGCTAATCCAATCATTTTTTACAAAACTTTGATTTGATACCACGTAAGTTAATAAACACTTTTATAAAAAAAAATCATAAATTGTTTTAAATAAGCAATCATAAACATCCCTTAAATCTCAAGGACCAAAATTAAAATTTACTCATTAAATTATTTGGAAATGATTATTAAATAATAAAATAAATATATGGATCACGTTTTTTAAGCAGTAATTCATAGAAATAAATAAATAAAAATAATAAATAAAATGCTGCAAAATGAAACATCATCGTCTCTGATAAAAAGGAGTGTTTCCGCCATGAAGACACAGCTACTATAAGAAGTAAGAACCAGCAGCATAACCCCCTAAAATCTCCCATCTCTCAACCCTAGGGTTTACAGAGGGAGATCATCATCACCGACATCTTCACACCTTCTTCTTTAGGGTTTTTACTATCTACAGATTTCATGTCTTTTCATAATCAATGGAGATTTTCTCTACTTTTTCCAGCAACAGCGATTTCCCCTTTCTTTCTTTCTTACTAGCCCTAACCATCACTCTCTTCTGTTGTTTCATTTCTCTTTTCCCCTTCAGATTGCTGAAATCCTCACAATCCGATAAACCCAAGGCTTGTGATTGTGATAGTACGTGTTCTAATTTCGATGGAGATGCTCAATCGATGGCTGTTACGGCGAGTGTGATGAACGGTGGTGAGGTGTTTCTGGTAGAGAGGGAACGGCGGCAGATGATAGGTGCGTCTATGATGGAACAATTGGTTCCGGAGATCACGACGCATGCATTAAGTTACTTGGATTATCCGAGTCTTTGTAGGTTGTCGATGACCAATTCTTCAATGCGGAGGGCTGCTAATGATGATAATGCTTGGAAAGCACTTTATCATAAGGTTGATTTCTCTGCTTATTATGCTCAATTTTAGCTTTAATTTCGTTATCTTCTGCAAGTACCCCTTTTGTAGGTCATTGAAGGGTTTTTGGGTTTTTGATCCTTTCCTATACTCGATTGAAAATGGATCAATATTAAGAACATTAGGAATTTTGGAGGATTTTCGTATGATAGAACCTTTTGAACCGTGAGATCACATCAAAACCCCCAAAATTCACATGGTAGCTCTTATCAGGATCATGCATTTCTATTTTATGTAAGGCAGTAAGTACAGAAGGAGGTTGGTCAAAACCAATCAGGAATTTGTTGCCATTTGAAATCCTTCTGTTGGCAAAGCTAGCTGCCAATGAGGATCACATTTTCATTATAGTTTCCCTTGTGTGATTCTGAAAAAAATCAACTACCTTATGTTTGTTGGTTTACAATGCGTCTTTGTGGTGGAATTTTTATATATTGATTGTGTATCTAGTGCCAAAGTTTCGCAATGGTTAAGTTGTCGATTCTTCTACTATGATGGAACATTTGGAATGGTTGTGTAGAAGTTATTGGAGTAGATTAGGGCATGTTTGTTAGCAGCTTAACGAACTTAATTGGACTCACAACTTATTCGGTTTGGTAGGGGCTTAATGATATGGAAAGTGGCTTATTCAATAAGCTCTAGGGGTGAGCTTTATGCAGAAAGCCAAGTTTTTTGCAAACTTGTCCATCCCAATTAAAGAACATGTTTCTTCCATCTATGAAAAAACCCTCCCAAAGAAAAACCTTCTCGGTCTATAAAGATAGATTAATCCACATAGACAGCTTTATCCATACAAGACTTGATGAAAAACCAACCAAACTGCGGGTAACCATATAAAGACATGCCCCAAGTCAAACCATCTGCAAAAAGTTAAAAGTATTGGATTCTTGTGTAATTGGAGCATATATGTAAAGAAATTATGAGTAAGATTATTTTACACTATTATCATTGCTTTGTATCTATAATCTTGATCTTGCTCCCAAGTTCATGAAATTGTTTGAATATCTTGTCATTCTTTATTGTTCTCCACACACAATGGTTGTCCAGATTAATGATAGTTTTTATTTTTTAACATAGAAACAGTCTCAAACCAAAGCTTTCATGGGGATTTTTTTTTTTATTAGCCTGGATATCCAACCCGCTATGCGAGCCGACTAATCCCAGGGCGACCACCTGCTTTGCAGGTAGCCCGGAGTCACCGTATTTGAACCTTCGTGGCCACAAGGGGATTTTTGTTCTTTCTTGGATTTGAACCTGGGACCTCCAGGCACTTTTGACCTTTGGAGCCAAACTCAAACCAATCAGGCACCACCCTTGTAGTTGGGATTGTTCTTTTAGTAACATTGAGAAAAAGAAATGCATGGTTTTGGGGATACAAATGAACTGGTGCCTTCTCTTGTCATCAAATGCCATCAAACTTTAGATATGCATCAAATTCCATGCATGGGCAGGAATATTTTGGCATGTAAATGTTGAATTGTGCCAAGGATATGGTGGACTATTTCATACATATAGTAATAACTGGAGTTGACATGAGGCTGATATCCTTAAGTCCGGAAATATAAAACCCCAAATTAGAAAGGAGCTATTAATCTAATTGTGGTTTCATACATGGTTTATCTCTAGATTCTGTCTTCCAAAAATTGAATTTCGAAATGGAAGCATTTTCTATGCTTTTCCTCAGTTGAAGCCTGTTGCATAATTGGTATAAATATCTTGCAGATAAACAATCTTCTTTGTAATATAGCTGTTAGAATATGTAGAACCTTTTATTCTCTTTCTAAAAGACCCCTTTAGAGAGAGAATAGATCCCTACATATATACAGGTGGGTTGGTCTGTTACTAGCCGATGTGGGACTCCAACATGCACCCTCAAACGGAGGCTGGGCAAGCTTGGGTGTGGTCAAGTGTTGAGCCCCTAAGGTGCTATACGCCGGCTCTGATACCATGTTAGAATATGTGGAACCCCGATTCTCTTTCTATGAGAACCCTTATTACAAGAGAGAGATTCCTACATATATATCAAGGTTGGTCCGTGGGTAGCCAACACGGGACTCCAACAATAGCAGTTAGCAAGACCTAGTGGCGGCAACCCCACTGATTTAATCCATTTATTAGATATACATAGCTCTTATTGTAAATTTGGTTTATTTGTTCAAGTTAAATATTTTCCACTGATCACATAGAAAAGGCATGTTTGTGGATCAAATTGTAATTTGTAAAGCTTTTGAAACTTAATTGCATAACATATGTTTCTGGAACTGTATCCAATGAGACAATCCATGGTTATTCCCCATTATGTTTATATTTGAATTTCAAGAAATAACATTCGTATCGCTCTATGTTACTTGTCCACAAGGATTTAAGGTAGATGTATTCATATGGCATTCTTTGTTCTTTCAGGATTTTACGATGGAACAAGATAGCATAACACCTTCTAATGGATGGAAGGCCTACTATGCATCTACTAGAGCAATTATCAATTCCAATCAACAGTTTTTCAACATCATTAGAGAAAGATCTCTTCTAGAAATGGGCCGGCTTTGGCTTAATGCAGATTACGTGAAATGTGTTCATCTCTCGGGAGAGCTCTTTACTGGGTACATTTCTTTTCCATAAATACTCGTGTTCTTCCTCTGTTCCATGGAAAAAAGATACCATTTGTATTGATGTCAAGCGGGCTCATTTTCAAGTTCAAATTAATATGAAATCTAGAACTCCATGATGGGAAAATTGATAGTCACATTGAGTTTTGTAACAAATGCTATGCATAGGAAATTGGTACTGGTTCACGGAATGGAATCTGTCAGAATTGGAATGGAATTTAATCAGGTTCGACCAGATGTTTGGTTGGCAGGAATTGAGATGGAATCTGTCAAGGTGCGTTTGGTACACTGGACAAAACATTACAGAACATAACGGGGATCACTGTTCCACGTTTATCTGGACTTTTATATGAAACGGACAGGAACAAAGTGGAACGCGACAGTGTTCCACCCCCACCCCATGGAACAAGGTGGGAAAGGGCGGAACAAAGTTATATTTTTTCAATATAACTTCAAAATAAAACCTAATTATTTTCCAAAACATCAAATACATCGCTTTCTTTACATTTTGTTCATTCTTTAAATTTTATTTATTGTATTTTATGCTCTTTAAACTTTCATTTTAGTGTCCTAAAAATATTATTTTATACAGTTTCTATATTTTGATTAATCTATGTAATTTATTAAGTATTAATAATAAAAAAATAAAATAGAAAAGATAGAAAATAAAAATTGAGAACTACATCAACTTTTTATTTTGGTGTCATTTTAATAGTATTAATGACAACTTTCTAATGATATATTTTATTATAAAAAAATATTTATCTTATTATAATTTAATAAATTACATAAGTTATTCGAAATATATAAACAACTCACTGTGGGTAAATTGATAATTTTATTTGTCCTGTTCTGTCTTACCAATTGAATAGTTGTCCTGTTCTGTTCTGTGTGGATACCAAACGCACCCTGAAAGGAATTGAAATATGTCTATTTGATTTGTTGAATATAACTTCTGAATTATAATGAAATAATGATAAATGACCAATATACCTCTTTTAAGACATTTTTACTAGCATTATAAATACTTATATAATGATAAATTAATATAGTATTAAGGTTATAACGTTGTCCATATCATAAATCATAATCATTCACTTTCGTGGCTTCTTTCTTATACATTGAGTTTGGCATGCAGTTACAACGGGGTTATAGGGAGTTGGCAACTCGCATTTAACTGGGAGCCCGGGTTTGACTTCCAGGTTCGAGATGTAAGGGCACGGGTGCTGACTGACATGGCTTGGGTAACCATGAGAGCCGCTGTCGGCATGGATGACAACCCTTTGAATGTGAGTAACGTATTTGAGTTTCACAATGGTCGCTGGTACATGGTTCATCATCATAGCTCGGTAATGCTCACCATAGGCCATGCCGCTGATCAACCACTTATTCTCGGGTAAGATTTGTGTTTGTTGTGATGTGACATTTGGCCTTTGTAACACAAAATTGGCTTCTTGTTCCACTTTGTTCCTCTCCGTTTCATATAGAAGTCCAGATAAACGTGGAACAGTGATCCCCATTATGTTCTGTTATGTTTTGTCCAGTGTACCAAACGCACCTTGACAGATTCCATTCCAATTCCTGCCAACCAAACATCTGGTCAAACCTGATTAAATTCCATTCCAGTTCTGACATAATCCATTCCATGAACCAAACCGTACCAATTTTCTATGCATAGCATTTGTTACAAAACTCAACGTGACTATCAATTTTCCGTCATGGAGTTCTAGATTTCATATTAATTTGAACTTGAAAATGAGCCTGTTTGACATCAATCTACGGGGATCACTGTTCCACCATAGGCCACTCTTTTCTTTTTAACATAGATGATATCATACTAGAAAAATAGTACATTTTTATTTTGCCGCTAGGGTTACAACATATAGTCAAAGACCTTCCAGCCTAGTGGTAAGGTTTGGGCATGACATAGTCATGAACCCGAGTTCGAGCCCTGGGAGGGGAAGTGTTGGCGACATTTAAGAGAGGCCATGTTTAGCCTCCAAAATTGCCGGGGATTAGTCGGGCATTGGCCCGGACACCTTTCCAAAAAAAAAAAAAAAGGGTTACAGCATATATGTCGGCTAAAGAAAACATTAGGCTCAATCAAACGTTAGGTTTTTACGTTATCTCGAGGTAAAAAGTGTCCAATTTTTTTTTCTGGTGTCATATATCTAGTGATGCTAGTTGTTACTGAATAGAGATGAAGATTTGTACATCATTTTCTTACATGGTTTCTATGGAAGATATATATATATATTATATCCGTGTTTCGTTAACTCGTACAAATTGGGTTAAGTAAATTTTTGGTAGAATTATGCATAACATAGTTGTACCCTATGTTATACCAACTTGTACTTTAGACGAGTTTTGCGTCAAAAATGAGTTTATATCTAATTTGACGTAAAAGTTGAGAATATAGACTTGAAGGGTCAAAACCGCCAAATAGTTAAACTATATATATATATATATATATATATAAATTAAATAAAAAAAAGAAAAAAAAATTATATATATACATGCATGCGTGAATGGCGGTATCACCGCCGCCATTCTCAATCTCTCGCCTCTTTTTCTCTCTCTAAAAACTTTCGTCTTCTCTCTAAATTTCACGTCAAGTTACTAAGGGGATCGAKRCAACAATTATATATTCGGAATCCACTCTACGAACCCTTCTTAAAGGTATAAGTTTCATTCAGTTTTATTAAGGTGTTTATTTTAGGGTTATTTAGACCGGTTTATAAACTGTGTTTATATCTAAGTTTACGGATTGATATTGTCAAAATTATGATATATTTGATGTTTAGGATGCTAGTACTGGTTATATTGATGTAGAAATAAAAAAGGTATATTATAGTTTCAATATGGTTAGATTGTGGGTAAATGTTTAACCGTACACCAATTGTTCGGTTAAATGTCGGAAGGAGTAAAAATGCATGATTAAGCTTAGGTTAACGACCATTGGACTTGTTTTATTGTTTAGTATGTTGAAGTACGTTTATAGCATGTAAATATATCAAATCATGAAAGTTGGATTATAAAAGTTAGTCGAGAATTACGGAATCGAATTTTACCGACAATGTAACTCCCGTACTTTGACAGTGTATAACTCACAAACCGTAAGTCGGATTAAGCTCGTATTTTGCAGTCAGGAAGATCATACTGCATACTACAACTTTCATTAAGGGTCAAAATTTCAGTTATGATTCTAAGTGGCTCGAAACAGTGTGTTTTTGGGGCTGTTTACACTGTATCTGCGATTAATTTACAGTTTTGTAAAATTCATATAAAATAGATGGATGATCCAAATGAGATGATTTCAAAACCAATAGACTCGTATGTTACCATCCTACAACTTTCGTTTAGACAATATAATCTGGATTGGTCTCTAAGTAAGATAAAAATGCTTAGAAATAAGAGGGTCGGAAACGGTTGGATCGAAAGAGAATAATGCTAAGTTTTACGTTTGAGTTTTCAATTCGTATCCAGCTGTCCTTCTTGAGGTCTACGTTGTTTAAGTAGATTAAGACCCAAGTAATTTTATTAGAATAGTTATATTATGGTTTCTATGCTTTACAAATAGTAACCGTTTATGCATTCGTTAGGCATGCGGTCAATTCAAACTTGATCGTGAATTTTCGTTTGATCGTGCGTTAATTGTCAAATTCGGTTAAGGTACGGATTTCATATCTCACTTGACACGGGGATAGCCATTTGCGTAAGGCTTCCTATTCCAGATAATCTGTGATAAATTCCGAATAATTTGTTTTGAATTTCCTTTATGCTTATCAAATGTTATTGAACTTTGTTTCCTTTTGAACTACGACTTATATATTCTTATTCGGAGTATGGATCATTGTGATCACTTGACTTGTTTTAGTGCTTTAATTGTGAAACATTTTACTATAGACTCAATAACTGGAGCACCGGTATTGAGATGTTTCTATGGTGACTAAAACGATCATGGCGTCCTTATTTTTATAGTCCTTAAAAGTGGACTTGATTATGTACCGGTCGAATAGAGGGCGTATAGATCGATCCTAGGAACCGTTATCGGATATTGAATTATGGCCGTGGTTAAATCCACAGAGAGGATTGCTGTGTTGTGCTCACACCCCTTTCCTCACTTGTGCCTGAATGGACTGATCATCCTTTGGGAACAATGCGTCCTTGTGATGCGGTTTGGTCTTCGGACCCTTGATATGCTTTTGGGGCATTTTGACTTTCTTTTGGATTATCACTTGGTTTTATAAATTGCTTTTGAACTTGTTATCTCATATTCATTGTTTAGTTACATTATTATCCGTTCACTGAGCATTAAGCCCAGCCGAGATTTTCTTATCCTCGGCAGGTACATGACTTAGCAGGGATTTTGGGATGAGAGCTACAGAGATGACAATATTGAAGATAACTCATTAAGTCATACTTTTGTTTAAACTTTTGATGACTATTGCAGATATACTGATATTTTGGGACCGTATTTTGAGACACGTTATCTCYGTTTGTGGTTATGTAATTATCTTTTGGTAAATTGTATTAGCCGCTCTGGTTTATATAGCACGTTGTTTGTTTATTCCAATTGTGGCATCTCCCGTCTTTGACCACGCGGGACG